TTACATCATAAGCCTTAAACCTATCAACGTAATATTTGACTTTATAGTCTGGTGATTATCTGTTGTTGTTTAGACACGCTAGTGTGGGACCAATATGGAGACCTATCAGCTACCATTAACAGACCGTCGTCATGTTTAACGTAATGCTGCTGTAACTCTGCGTTAGTATATGTTGGTAGTGCGTGAGGCCATATGTACAGATATGTACATGGGACATGAAAACAGTGCATCTCATATTGACAAAAATAAACCTCGCTAACCGAGTTTTCCAAATCACTCTAAAAATAAGCCGTTGTGATACACGTGTAGACAACGTCTGCAGAATCATAAATGATCATTACATTGGGGTCATTAAACCATTATTTCGCTAAGATAAAAAACATTAACAGTTTGGGATTTTAGTGTAATTCACAAATGTTCCACCAGATGGTGCCACACACACCCAGGGGGAAAAGATGATATATTAACCCAGTAATAAGTGGCTAAAAAATGGGTACATTAGTGTTTAAAGTCGGGGGAACTGTTTTAATTCAGGACCAGGGTGAAAAGATAACACATTTACCCAGGAATAATTGTCTGAATCATGGGTATATTAGTGTTTAAAGCCGTGGGAAATGTTTTAATTCAACAGGAGAGGGTAATTCAATTGTTACCCATGGAACAGGGCTGCAAACATGGCTACATGAGTGTTAAAATGCTGTCAAACTGTTTTAATTCAGTCACAATTGTCGTTTTTAGACGGTGTACATTGGACTCAATAAACATACAGAGTTATGGACATAAATGTGTCAGTATAGACGGGATAATGTACATATTAATAATATTTAATTAGTTAAATGTACAATGAGCTAAAAACAGCAGAATCACTGCTGTTAGCAGGGTCTCAGAGACCCATAGACCCAGAGACCCAGGGTACAGCACCTCACTGTCTTACCCATAAAACAGGGCTCTGATCAGGGCTAAAGTAATGTTATAAACTGGTGAATCTGTTTAAATGCAGGCAGCAGACTCACTGCTTTTAGCAGGGTCTCAGAGAGCCAGAGACCCAGGGTACAGCACATCGCTTTCTTACCCATAAAACAGGGCTCTGATCAGGGCTAAAGTAATGTTATAAACTGGTGAATCTGTTTAAATGCAGGCAGCAGAGTCACTGCTTTTAGCAGGGTCTCAGAGAGCCAGAGCACCAGGGTACAGCACATCGCTGTCTTACCCATAAAACAGGGCTCTGATCAGGGCTAAAGTAATGTTATAAACTGGTGAATCTGTTTAAATGCAGGCAGCAGAGTCACTGCTTTTAGCAGGGTCTCAGAGAGCCAGAGACCCAGGGTACAGCACATCGCTTTCTTACCCATAAAACAGGGCTCTGATCAGGGCTAAAGTAATGTTATAAACTGGTGAATCTGTTTAAATGCAGGCACCTGCATTCACACCTCCAGGGCGGAGACCGGGAAAACCAACTCTCTTTGCCCGCTCACAGAGCCCCGAAGGACGGACTAGAGACCTCCAGCACCAGTCCCTAACAGTGGGACTCTGTTTATTTCACACCTCCAGGGCGGAGACCGGGAAAATCACCTCTCATTGCCCGCTCACAGAGCCCCGAAGGACGGACTAATGACCACCAGCATGTGCCCCTAACAGTGGCACCTCCATAACATTGCACACCGTGAGTCCCCGGGCCCCCGCAGTTAAGCACTCCCCCACGGACTAAACCCAGATATTCACACCCTCCAGAATCTCGTGCCCCTGGTAAGACTAACAAGGGGTGGATTTTGTGGTGGTCTACCGTCCGCCCTTAAGCATCCAACTGCGGACTAAACCCAGATATTCACACCCTCCAGAACCTCGTGCCCCTGGTAAGACTAACAAGGGGTGGATTTTGTGGTGGTCTACCGTCCGCCCTTAAGCATCCAACTGCGGACTCCTGACACTCAGACACTTTTCATATTTTTAGGTTACCAGGGGCACGCTTGTCTGGCAGTTATGCACATGGGGTTTTGTCCAAGGCAGTGTGCTTAAGTCAGGGGGCCCGGGGACTCAAGGTGCGCATGGCAGGCCGCCTATGAGTGGCCAAAATGTTTTAATTAACTCATTATTGTCGTTTTTTAGACAGTGTACATTGGACGACATAAACATACGGAGTTATGGACATAAACGTGTCAGTATAGACAGAACAATGTACATATTAATCATATTTAATTTATTAAATGTACAATAAACTAAAAACAGCAGAATCACTGCTTTAAGCAGCATATCACACTTCCAGGCAGACATACACACACCCAGGGGGGGAAGAGAACACTTTGACCCAGGAATAAGGGCTCAAAACGTGGGTAAAAGTGTGTTAAAAAGTCGGGGAACATGTTTCAAATGACAGCAGACTGCTGCTTGTTTGCAGACTGACACAGTTCACTTGTCTCACACACACACCCAGGGGGGAAAAGAGAACACATTGACCCATGAATAAGTGTCTGAATCATGGGCACATTAGTGTTTAAAGTCGGGGAACTGTTTTAATTCAGGACCAGGGTGAAAAGATAACACATTTACCCCGCTAAAGTGTTCAAAACATGGGTATATTAGTGCTCAAACTCGATTAAACTGTTTTAATTGCGGAGGTTTTACGTTTTGGTTCACTCGTCTCACACACCCAGAGTGTTAACAACATTTTTTACAAATGTTATAAATTAGTCTAGAGCTCCATCTATTGTAATTTGAGTGTATTACACGTCTGTCCATGGAACGCGAGTTTTGCGCCATTTGAGTGGAGTAAACTGATATGCAGCTGGAGTAACATGTACATTGAGACGCATTGGGACATATCATCGTCACTTTCAATGTTAACCTTGTACATATGAGGCACAATATGCTTACTCCTATTACCGTAATCCACTCTGCAATATCTTGTTTTAAAACACAACAGTATAACACCTACTAGCCGTACTAGCTTTGTCGTCCGAAACGACTCGAACACCCTCAGTGTCTTTTAATATTGTCCTAAACAATTTTATCGTCCAAAACGACTTATATCGTCCAAAACGACTTATAAAGATTAATATTAAAAACATGCAGTTGGTTAATGAATCAAAGAAAGGAAAATAGACTTACCCTTGCTTGGTCTAAAACAACGCCACATGGTGTGGTTTAAATTTAGATATTTAACATTAAATTAACAGCTGTTCTCAGGATGTCCTGCTCGCCACAAAACACACAAATCTAAATTGTTCTAAATAAGCTGTTGAAGAATTTTGGTATAACTGGCTTCTTCTCACCTTTTGTATTTGGGCCCTGTGTGTTTTTTGGTTAGCAGAATCTCCATTGAAGCTAGCCGGTTTCTCTCCCAGATTGCTATCACGTCGGTGGTCTCCAGTTGTTGATGAATCGTGATCTTCTCGCTCCCAGGAAAGAAACTTAAAATAATGAGACTAATGGAGTCTCTGAAAAGGTTCAAATGGGTACTTTAATTAAGTAACGTGGTTAAAGAACAAGCATAGGTAAGGAAGAGACAAAGCCGGTGTTGTCTCCAGGGAGCTGCAGCGTAGGAAAAGAGGCCGGGCTGTACTTTCCGATTCGATTTATCCTCTTCTCGTTCTCTCCCGCTGTGCAGATAGGGGGACCGCCCTCCTCGTCTTCAATGTTCGACATCGCGTGAAACAGAGGATTTCGACATTCTGTATTCCCTGCCTACTTCCTTAAGCCTTTTCTCCTCCTTATCTCTGTCATGACTTTCTATTTAATACTTTATAAACAGCTGTAATAGTTAGTTTAGAAGTCCTAGAAACACCTCTACGGCACAGTTCTCATTTACGGTAACTCCCTCTGACGTCATAGCTACTCACGTAATGTGAAAACACTTTACGATCAACTGTACCTTCATTTAATATTCAGCAGTAATAATATCTCTATAGATGTAGTGTTAAAGTCCGTAGGTTTTGGTGTGCAACACTCCATGTCATTTTCACTTTACATTCAGAAAACACATTGTTAGCTACATTCTACATACTGTCCGGATATGAAGGATTTTCAGAATAAAAGCTTGGCATTGAGATTTCCTGAGAACTTCCGGGTTTTTTCACAATAAAACAGCTTTTAAACTGACGATATGTTTTAGACTAAATTATGCTATTACACATTGATTTTAATTTCTAACAATGTGCAGCAGTGTGTGTAGTGTGTTAACAGTAAAATGTGAACACACTACACACACTGCGTCATGTAACAATATGATCCTCTTTATGGAATAAAAACCACTTCTTGTCGTTAGCGAGCTGCTGCCGTTAACAAGGTTTTTATTACCAGGACTTCCTGTCCCTCGTTAAGCAACTTAAAACCATTCTGTTAACAGGAAGTGACACGCAATGTTTCTGGACCCAGTCAACCTGTCAATCACAGGAAGCCCCGCCCTAACACATGCTGTTTTATAACTGAATAACATGTGGAGGTCTGTAGAGGTCTGTAGAGGTCTGTAGAGGTCTGTAGAGGTCTGTAGAGGTCTGTAGAGGTTGAGAAACTAGAAACGATCTAGCAATAAGTCCATTCATCAAAATAAAAACGACTTTACTATCAGGAAAACTAAATGAAACCCCAATAAACAGACGGGACAAAACATTCAAATTAAACAAGAAATTAAAATACTTGATTAACTATATGTGAAGAAAACTGTGCTCACCTGCAGAATAAACTGATTGAAGTTAGAAAAGAAATAACACGGAGAGTTACAATTCAAAAACCGGATGAGCATTGTTAGAACATCTCATTCATCTCACAGTTCATAGAGCTGAGGTCCCGAAGAGTGTGTGTGTGTGTGTGTGTGTGTGTGTGTGTGTGTGTGTGTGTGTGTGTGTGTGTGTGTGTGTATGTCTATGTGTGTGTGTGTGTGTGTGTGTGTGTATGTCTATGTGTGTGTGTGTATGTGTGTGTGTGTGTGTGGTGTGTGTGTGTGTGTGTGTGTGTGTGTGTGTGTGTGTGTGTGTGTGTGTGTGTGTGTGTGTGTTGTGTGTGTGTGTGTGTGTGTGTGTGTTGTGTGTGTGTGTGTGTGAGTGTGTTGTGTGTGTGTGTGTGTGTGTGTGTGTGTCTAGGTGTTGGGTCGGATCTCTGCGTAGTTCTTCGCGACTCCGGAGAATCGAACCAGGCGGATCTCCGGCTCTCTGGACTTGAAGTCCTGCCACAGGTACTCCGGGGACAGAACCTTAGTGGGCTTATGGATCCACATGTACCTGAACACAACACAGGAAGTACCGTCACAACAGGAAGTGCAGTCAGAAGAGTTCTGCTATATAGGCCGGAGCCAGCCCATTTAGGGCTTTAAAAACAAATAAAAGGATTTTAAAATCAATTCTGAACCGAACTGGAAGCCAGTGCAGTGAGGCCAGAATTGGGGTGATGTGGTCACGCTTTTTGTGGCCAGTCAGCAGACGTGCAGCTGCGTTCTGAACTAGCTGCAGGCGTTTAATTGAGGCCTGGTCCATACCCACATACAGAGCGTTGCAGTAATCCAACCTTGAGGTAACAAAGGCGACTTGGTCTTGGCCAATAGTCGTATTTTAAAAAAGCAGGTCTTGACTACGCTGCTGACCTGCTTGTCGAATTTAAAAGTGCTAGTGAAGGTCACTCCAAGGTTCATGACCGAGGGGAGGATGTTTTTATTGAGAGAGCCCAGAATGTCAACCGGAGAGGCTGGAGGTTGGGGTCCAAAAAAGATGACCTCAGTCTTGCTCTCGTTGAGGTTGAGGAAATGTTGTCTCAGCCAGGATTTAATCTCTGCTAAGCAGTCCATCAACTGCTGTAGTGAGTTGGCATTTTGATTGAGTGGCAGATATATCTGTACATCATCAGCGTAACAATGGAAGGGGATGTTGTGTTTAGTGAGAATTGAACCTAGGGGCAGTATGTACAGTAGAAAAAGGATGGGGCCCAGAATCGAGCCTTGGGGAACCCCACAGGTAAGAGGGGCTTTGGCAGAGGAGAAGGCACCTAGCTGCACTGAGAAGCTACGGTCTGTCAGGTAGGACCTGAACCATACAAGGGCAGAGCCTGTGATGCCAGCGGACTGTTCAAGCCGTGACAGCAGGATGCTATGGTCCACAGTGTCAAAGGAGTTTAGTTTCAGAGCGGTTCAGTTTGAAGGGGTTTCTGTAGTACCTGTTCAGTTCAGAGCGGTTCAGTTTTAAAGGGTTTCTGCAGTACCTGTTCAGTTCAGAGCGGTTCAGTTTGAAGGGGTTTCTGTAGTACCTGTTCAGTTCAGAGCGGTTCAGTTTTAAAGGGTTTCTGCAGTACCTGTTCAGTTCAGAGCGGTTCAGTTTTAAAGGGTTTCTGCAGTACCTGTTCAGTTCAGAGCGGTTCAGTTTGAAGGGGTTTCTGCAGTACCTGTTCAGGTGACTCTCCTCCTGCCAGGCGGCCTCGATGCCCCCTCGAGCGTCAGCCTCAAAGTCCTGGCGGCAGGTCTTGGCCATCAGGTGCACCTCCTGCAGCCGGCCCCCGAACGCCCCCCCGCAGTAGTAGAAGTCCCCGTCCTCAGGGGCCAGGTACGCTCTGGACTCGGGGCGGCGCTCGTAGGGAAACTTGGTCCTCTGGTCCCGGTAGTACCCTGCACAGACAGTGCAGAGGAAACTCTTCAGAGGAACTGATAAATGATTGAAGGACAACGTTTGTCTTTTGTTCTATTTAATAAAGTAATAAAGAAAGTCAATATAAAGTGAAATGGATCTGAAGTGCAGGAACAGAGCAGCTTCATCCTCAGAGGAGAGAGAAGAGAGAAAAGCCAACTGGTCCCACCCTTACATTCCCTTAGGCATTATCTAAACATCCCCATCATTAAACCATTAACCCTCCAGTCCTTTAACCATTTGCAAATCCCCCTTTGACTTCCTTTACCTCCTGAAAGGTAAACCCTTAACACGTCTCTGTTAAACATACACAAGACTAACAATACAACCTATCAGAGTGAAAGACTCTATGTTTTAAATGATTATATGATCATTTGACACGACAAAGACAGTCTGGAGAACCAATGAGAGGCAGGACCAGGTAGACCCTCACCTGGGTGGATCACCCCCACCAGCCCCCCCAGAGACTCCGTCCCCCAGCGGCCGTGGAAACGGGAGTCCACGTCCAGACAGAAGATGTAGTCCTTGTGGTTCCTGAGCTCCTCGATCAGGGTCTGGATCAGCTCCATGCGGCGGGCCGAAATCTCCTGCCAGCGCCGGGAGCTGGGCACTGAACGCACCGTCACCTGAGGACCATGACCAGAACTCAGAAACAATCTCTGTCCTCACACCAGTTTACCTCAGGGTCCAGAACCGGGACCATAACCAGCTAACATCCCTGCTGGACTCTGGATTTGTGTCTGAAGCTAGCTGCAGGACTCTGGGTTTGTGTCTCTGAAGCTAGCTGCAGGACTCTGGGTTTGTGTCTCTGAAGCTAGCTGCAGGACTCTGGGTTTGTGTCTGAAGCTAACTGCAGGACTCTGGGTTTGTGTCTCTGAAGCTAACTGCAGGTCTCTGGGTTTGTGTCTCTGAAGCTAACTGCATGACTCTGGGTTTGTGTCTCTGAAGCTAACTGCAGGACTCTGGGTTTGTGTCTCTGAAGCTAACTGCAGGACTCTGGGTTTGTGTCTCTGAAGCTAACTGCAGGTCTCTGGGTTTGTGTCTCTGAAGCTAACTGCAGGACTCTGGGTTTGTGTCTCTGAAGCTAACTGCAGGTCTCTGGGTTTGTGTCTCTGAAGCTGACTGCAGGACTCTGGGTTTGTGTCTGAAGCTAACTGCAGGACTCTGGGTTTGTGTCTCTGAAGCTAACTGCAGGTCTCTGGGTTTGTGTCTCTGAAGCTAACTGCAGGACTCTGGGTTTGTGTCTGAAGCTAATTGCAGGTCTCTGGGTTTGTGTCTCTGAAGCTAACTGCAGGACTCTGGGTTTGTGTCTGAAGCTAACTGCAGGACTCTGGGTTTGTGTCTCTGAAGCTAACTGCAGGACTCTGGGTTTGTGTCTCTGAAGCTGACTGCAGGACTCTGGGTTTGTGTCTCTGAAGCTAACTGCAGGTCTCTGGGTTTGTGTCTCTGAAGCTAACTGCAGGTCTCTGGGTTTGTGTCTCTGAAGCTGACTGCAGGTCTCTGGGTTTGTGTCTGAAGCTAACTGCAGGACTCTGGGTTTGTGTCTCTGAAGCTAACTGCAGGTCTCTGGGTTCAACCCAGTCTCACGGCATTTCGTGTTATAGCAGGGTTGCCAACTTTGGGTACCTGGCTGGAGTGAGATTTTGATATCATGGGTTTAATTACACATATGCGCACTAAATGACTGCTATCGTGTCAGTAGCGGGACCTTAGCATATATATAGGATATATATACAATATATACAAATACACAATATTGGACACAGACTATAAAGGGCACACAGTTTCATTCACTAATGAAAGTCAAACATGTTTGTTTCCACTGTTTTATTGTGTGCCTGTCGCGATAAGCAATTAATTGACTTATCGTACGATAAATAAAAATGAACTCGATAAATTGCCATTTACATGAGGATGTGACTAGCAGTTTGAAAGGATGTACTTGAATTATTATTATATATTATCATTATGTCAGTGGTCTAAAATGGTCATACAACGGTGCCGACAATATTATCGTTTATCGCAATCATTTCCGGGAAAATGTATCAAAATTAATTATCGTGAGAGGCCTATACATGAAACACACACACACACAAATCTACAGACTTACTCCAAACTGCCAAATATATTAATTAACACACTCTCACTCTCATACACTCTTTGACTCTATTTTGGCGTAGTAGAACAATAAGCAGCAGACTTTTACTTTTTATCATTTCTACTGGATCTCAGATCTGAGCATGCGCAATACGGGTCGGGGATCGACCAACCGGCTCCCACTGCTCTGCTGTCTTAACATTGCAGGAAAGCAATATATTCAGGGGTGCACATAACTTTGTTGCCCTGGTTCTCAAAGGAGCACCTGGAGATGTTGCTTGGTGCGCATCCTTAAAATGAAATAAACCGGACCTTTTGAGGGGGGGGGGGGGGAAGTGCGCTAGTGAGCACGCTCATGAACCTCGCAGCAGGGTTACTGTGCTGAGCGCATAAAGCAGACCCTTCACGCGATAGCGAGGGGTAGAGCGAGGGATCGCAGATGCCGTCGTGCTCACGGACGGATTAAAACAAATTAAACCTAAATGGATTCGCATCCGACACGGTGAACCATCAGATCCTCCTTCGCACTCTCCAAGAACTTGGAGTTTCAGGCTCTGCAATTTCCCTCCTCACCTCATACCTCAAAGACCGCACCTACAGGGTAACTTGGAGAGGGTCCGAGTCCGACCCTTGTCAATTCACTACAGGGGTCCCTCAGGGCTCTGTCCTTGGTCCCCTCCTCTTCTCTCTGTACACAAACTCGCTCGGATCTGTCATTAGCCCGCATGGTTTTTCATACCACTGCTACGCTGACGACACCCAATTCATTCTGTCCTTTCCCCGCTCAGAGACCCAGGTCGTCGCACGCATCTCTGCTTGTCTAGCAGACATCTCTCAGTGGATGTCTGCTCACCACCTCAAGCTCAACCTTGACAAAACTGAACTGCTTTTCCTTCAGGGAAAAGATTGTCCCACTCTTGACCTGACAATCAACATCGGCCCCTCTATTGTTTCCCTGACTCAGACCCCCTTTACACGAGAACGAAACGGCTTGTATCTGCATAGTTTCTCTTGCGTATAGCCCTATTATTTACATGAGGCCGTAACAAAACGATAGAAACAGACCCCACAAACGATAACGGGTCCCAAGGTGGATAGATTTGCAAACGAAACGCTCTGGGGGGTCAAACGGCTCCGTGTAATCGCCTTTATACGATCATTTCCTGAAAAAATAACGATAGCCCCGCCTCTGCTGCTCACTGCTGTAGCATGGCCAGTAGCTACTGTCAGTAGCTACTGCTAGTGCTACTGCTAGTGCTACTGCTACTGACCATGCTACAGATGTTAGTGCAAAATCTACAGCTCCTCTACCACAACCATCAGCAACAAGTGGACATGGAGAACTACAGGAACTACTACATGCTGCTGAATCCACCGCGGGGCATAAACAGAAGGGTAGCCATGGCAACATCGCTGCGGGGCTGCTCGGGCTGCTCTTCTTCGCTGCTTTTGGTGTATTTTGTGGCGGAAGTTACAGCGCCACTTACAGTCCCGGCATATGTACTACAGCGTTTCCAGCGGTCTTGTTTGAACAGACACGTTAAATGAAACGAATGCATGTGAACGGAAGACTTTTTTGAAAACGCATACTGTGCATAAACGCAAACGTTCCCGTGTAAAAGCAGACTCAGACTGCAAGGAATCTGGGTGTGACCCTAGATAACAAACTGTCCTTCACAGCAAACATCACTGCTACAACCCGCTGCTGCAGATACACTCTTTACAACATCAGGAGGATACGTCCCCTCCTGACCCAGAAAGCAGGTTCTGGTCCAGGCTCTCGTCATCTCACGCCTAGACTACTGCAACTCCCTCCTGGCTGGTCTACCTGCATGTGCCATCCCACCTCTGCAGCTCATCCAGAATGCAGCGGCTCGTCTGGTCTTCAACCTTCCTAAATGTTCCCACACCACGCCGCTCCTCCGCTCACTTCACTGGCTTCCAGTAACTGCTAGAATCCACTTCAAGACACTGGTACTTGCGTACCATGCTGTGAATGGATCTGGCCCTTCCTACATCCAGGACATGGTTAAACCATACACCCCAGCACGTGCACTCCGCTCTGCATCGGCCAAACGGCTCGCTGCACCCGCACTGCGAGGGGGACCCAAGTTCCCATCAGCAGAAACACGTGGGTTTGCTATCCTGGCTCCAAAATGGTGGAATGAGCTCCTCATTGACATCAGGACAGCAGAAAGCTTACACATCTTCCAGAGCAGACTGAAAACTCATCTCTTGCGACTCCACTTCGAGGGATAGAATTACTAACAAAGAATTGCTAACAAAGCACTTATATACTAACAAAGCACTTATATACTAACTAAGGACTGGCTTATCTAAAGCCAGTTGAGTAGCACTTGAAATGTTTTGGCTCTATGAAACCTGATGTACTTATATGATTCTGTTTTCTTCAAGTTTGTATCTTGTTGGTCGAATGCACTTATTGTGGGGGAAACTTCTGTGTAGCAATGCATGGAGTCACCGACTCAGGAAGGAGACACGGGATAGAGCTGGAGCTTTGATGTCAAACACTGATGGTTTATTAGGAGCTTCGGCCGGAGAATTCACAAAGCAAGTCCAAGAGCCAGAGGTTCTGACTTCACGGTAGAGTTGCCACGTCAATTCTGAAGAGCCTCTCTCTATGCTAGACCTTTTAACTGGTTCACAGAGAGTAATCAACATCTCTGAGGAAGTAGACTAAACAGCTGGGAACACTGAATAACTTGTGTCCGGCCATTTATTTTCCTCACTGACGGCAAAAAAAGTCCGACATTATACGATTTAAAATAAAAAACAATAATCGTGGCTTGATATTGAGTAAGAACCATAGACTGTATATATAAAGAACATGTGTTTATGAACCACACAGCTTCCGGTCTTCCAAGACCCGACCGGACAAAAAGACGTGTTGCAGGCACGAAACACACTACCAATAGAAATACATTGCTTTTAAAATCGTTCTGTGTGACACGAGAAAAAGGGGGAAATCGTGTTGGTGAACACGAATCAATAGATTAAATGTCGTGACTATAACACGAAATGCCGTGGGACTGGGTTGCTGGGTTTATGTCTCTGAAGCTAACTGCAGGACTCTGGGTTTGTGTCTGAAGCTAACTGCAGGACTCTGGGTTTGTGTCTCTGAAGCTAACTGCAGGACTCTGGGTTTGTGTCTCTGAAGCTAACTGCAGGACTCTGGGTTTGTGTCTCTGAAGCTAACTGCAGGACTCTGGGTTTGTGTCTCTGAAGCTAACTGCAGGACTCTGGGTTTGTGTCTCTGAAGCTAACTGCAGGTCTCTGGGTTTGTGTCTCTGAAGCTAACTGCAGGTCTCTGGGTTTGTGTCTGAAGCTAACTGCAGGTCTCTGGGTTTGTGTCTCTGAAGCTAACTGCAGGACTCTGGGTTTGTGTCTCTGAAGCTAACTGCAGGACTCTGGGTTTGTGTCTCTGAAGCTGACTGCAGGACTCTGGGTTTGTGTCTCTGAAGCTAACTGCAGGTCTCTGGGTTTGTGTCTCTGAAGCTAACTGCAGGTCTCTGGGTTTGTGTCTCTGAAGCTAACTGCAGGACTCTGGGTTTGTGTCTCTGAAGCTAACTGCAGGTCTCTGGGTTTGTGTCTCTGAAGCTAACTGCAGGTCTCTGGGTTTGTGTCTGAAGCTAACTGCAGGTCTCTGGGTTTGTGTCTCTGAAGCTAACTGCAGGACTCTGGGTTTGTGTCTCTGAAGCTAACTGCAGGACTCTGGGTTTGTGTCTCTGAAGCTAACTGCAGGACTCTGGTCTGGGTTTGTGTCTCTGAAGCTAACTGCAGGTCTCTGGGTTTGTGTCTCTGAAGCTAACTGCAGGTCTCTGGGTTTGTGTCTCTGAAGCTAACTGCAGGTCTCTGGGTTTGTGTCTCTGAAGCTAACTGCAGGACTCTGGTCTGGGTTTGTGTCTCTGAAGCTAACTGCAGGACTCTGGGTTTGTGTCTCTGAAGCTAACTGCAGGTCTCTGGGTTTGTGTCTCTGAAGCTAACTGCAGGACTTTGGGTTTGTGTCTCTGAAGCTAACTGCAGGACTCTGGGTTTGTGTCTCTGAAGCTAACTGCAGGACTCTGGGTTTGTGTCTCTGAAGCTAACTGCAGGTCTCTGGTCTGGGTTTGTGTCTCTGAAGCTAACTACAGGACTCTGGTCTGGGATCAGTCTACAGGTTTATTGATCAGCTGTTACCTGTCTGCCGGGGGCCATGTGGACCCGGGGGACCTCGTTCGGCCGGTCGGTGAAAATGTAAACGTGAACATTGAAACCAACGAAGAAGTGCTGCTCCGCCGTCAGCAGGAAGGCCTCCAGGAACCGGATGTACCTGCAGGGGGTCAGAGGTCAGAGTGCTGCTTTCAGGGTGGCATGGACACTAGAGCGCTGTGATGTCACACTACAGCGCTGTGATGTCACACTACAGCGCTGTGATGTCACTGTGATGTCATACTTTCCCACGGCGAACACAGTGACGGCCACGCTGATGTTCCTGGGTCTGTAGAGGCCGTCCAGCAGGACCGGGTCAAAGGTCCCATCCCAAACCACCGGCGCCAGCCAGGGCGTCACCGTCACCACGTCCGTGCGCCTGGGGGGGATAATCCAGGGGTGGGGGAGGGGGGCATATTTCAGGTCACATCGACATGACAGTACTGCAACACTATGTGGTACAAGTGTTTGTCAACTGCTTTCAAATCTAAACGGCTCCACCTGTTAGAACTCTGCTCAAAGATTGTTGGTCACCCTGTCAGAGACTTCCTGCTCACAGACTGTTGGTCACCCTGTCAGAGACTTCCTGCTCACAGACTGTTGGTCACCCTGTCAGAGACTTCCTGCTCACAGACTGTTGGTCACCCTGTCAGAGACTTCCTGCTCACAGACTGTTGGTCACCCTGTCAGAGACTTCCTGACTCACAGACTGTTGGTCACCCTGTCAGAGACTTCCTGACTCACAGACTGTTGGTCACCCTGTCAGAGACTTTCTGACTCACAGACTGTTGGTCACCCTGTCAGAGACTTCCTGACTCACATCCCATAATAACCTGAGAGGCTCCAGCAGCATCATCTGGGACCCAAAGCATGCTCTAACAGAGAATCTGAACTGCTACCATCTAATAGAGACCACTAAAGTCAGCCTGAAGCATCCTCTGTGCTCCAGTCAGTCTGAAGCATCCTCTGTGCTCCAGTCAGTCTGAAGCATCCTCTGTGCTCCAGTCAGTCTGAAGCATCCTCTGTGCTCCAGTCAGTCTGAAGCATCCTCTGTGCTCCAGTCAGTCTGAAGCATCCTCTGTGCTCCTCAGTGAACACAGAGCTACAGATCAGCTACAGATCAGATCACGCTGAAGGCTCTTTGAGCAGCTCTCACTGATCCTGCTGTGATGTTACACATGGAGCTGCTGTGATGTTACACACGGAGCTGCTGTGATGTTACACACGGAGCTGCTGTGATGTTACACACGGAGCTGCTGGGATGTTACACACGGAGCTGCTGGGATGTTACACACGGAGCTGCTGGGATGTTACACACGGAGCTGCTGTGATGTTACACACGGAGCTGCTGTGATGTTACACACGGAGCTGCTGTGATGTTACACACGGAGCTGCTGTGATGTTACACACGGAGCTGCTGGGATGTTACACACGGAGCTGCTGGGATGTTACACACAGAGCTGCTGGGATGTTACACGTGGAGCTGCTGGGATGTTACACGTGGAGCTGCTGCTGTGATGTTACACGTGGAGCTGCTGTGATGTTACACGTGGAGCTGCTGGGATGTTACACGTGGAGCTGCTGGGATGTTACACGTGGAGCTGCTGGGATGTTACACGTGGAGCTGCTGCTGTGATGTTACACGTGGAGCTGCTGTGATGTTACACGTGGAGCTGCTGTGATGTTACACGCGGAGCTGCTGGGATGTTACACGCGGAGCTGCTGGGATGTTACACGTGGAGCTGCTGTGATGTTACACGTGGAGCTGCTGTGATGTTACACGTGGAGCTGCTGTGATGTTACACGTGGAGCTGCTGTGATGTTACACGTGGAGCTGCTGGGATGTTACACACGGAGCTGCTGTGATGTTACACACGGAGCTGCTGTGATGTTACACACGGAGCTGCTGGGATGTTACACGTGGAGCTGCTGGGATGTTACACGTGGAGCTGCTGGGATGTTACACGTGGAGCTGCTGTGATGTTACACACAAAGCTGCTGTGATGTTACACACGGAGCTGCTGTGATGTTACACACGGAGCTGCTGTGATGTTACACGTGGAGCTGCTGTGATGTTACACGTGGAGCTGCTGGGATGTTACACGTGGAGCTGCTGGGATGTTACACACGGAGCTGCTGTGATGTTACACGTGGAGCTGCTGGGATGTTACACACGGAGCTGCTGGGATGTTACACGTGGAGCTGCTGGGATGTTACACGTGGAGCTGCTGCTGTGATATTACACATGGAGCTGCTGTGATGTTACACATGGAGCTGCTGCTGTGATGTTACACATGGAGCTGCTGTGATGTTACACACGGAGCTGCTGTGATGTTACACGTGGAGCTGCTGCTGTGATGTTACACATGGAGCTGCTGTGATGTTACACATGGAGCTGCTGCTGTGATGTTACACATGGAGCTGCTGTGATGTTACACGTGGAGCTGCTGGGATGTTACACGTGGAGCTGCTGCTGTGATGTTACACACGGAGCTGCTGTGATGTTACACGTGGAGCTGCTGGGATGTTACACGTGGAGCTGCTGCTGTGATGTTACACATGGAGCTGCTGTGATGTTACACACGGAGCTGCTGTGATGTTACACACGGAGCTGCTGTGATGTTACACGTGGAGCTGCTGTGATGTTACACGTGGAGCTGCTGGGATGTTACACGTGGAGCTGCTGGGATGTTACACACGGAGCTGCTGTGATGTTACACGTGGAGCTGCTGGGATGTTACACACGGAGCTGCTGTGATGTTACACGTGGAGCTGCTGGGATGTTACACGTGGAGCTGCTGCTGTGATGTTACACATGGAGCTGCTGTGATGTTACACATGGAGCTGCTGTGATGTTACACATGGAGCTGCTGGGATGTTACACACGGAGCTGCTGTGATGTTACACGTGGAGCTGCTGTGATGTTACACGTGGAGCTGCTGTGATGTTACACGTGGAGCTGCTGGGATGTTACACGTGGAGCTGCTGGGATGTTACACGTGGAGCTGCTGGGATGTTACACGTGGAGCTGCTGTGATGTTACACGTGGAGCTGCTGGGATGTTACACGTGGAGCGATGTTACACGTGGAGCTGCTGTGATGTTACACACAGAGCTGCTGTGATGTTACACATGGAGCTGCTGTGATGTTACACGTGGAGCTGCTGTGATGTTACACGTGGAGCTGCTGGGATGTTACACGTGGAGCGATGTTACACGTGGAGCTGCTGTGATGTTACACGTGGAGCTGCTGTGATGTTACACGTGGAGCTGCTGGGATGTTACACGTGGAGCTGCTGGGATGTTACACGTGGAGCTGCTGGGATGTTACACGTGGAGCTGCTGGGATGTTACACGTGGAGCTGCTGGGATGTTACACGTGGAGCTGCTGGGATGTTACACACGGAGCTGCTGTGATGTTACACACAAAGCTGCTGTGATGTTACACACGGAGCTGCTGTGATGTTACACACGGAGCTGCTGTGATGTTACACATGGAGCTGCTGTGATGTTACACGTGGAGCTGCTGGGATGTTACACGTGGAGCTGCTGTGATGTTACACGTGGAGCTGCTGGGATGTTACACGTGGAGCTGCTGCTGTGATGTTACACATGGAGCTGCTGTGATGTTACACATGGAGCTGCTGTGATGTTACACATGGAGCTGCTGGGATGTTACACACGGAGCTGCTGTGATGTTACACGTGGAGCTGCTGGGATGTTATACGTGGAGCTGCTGCTGTGATGTTACACATGGAGCTGCTGTGATGTTACACACAGAGCTGCTGTGATGTTACACACGGAGCTGCTGTGATGTTACACACAAAGCTGCTGTGATGTTACACACAGAGCTGCTGTGATGTTACACGTGGAGCTGCTGTGATGTTACACGTGGAGCTGCTGGGATGTTACACGTGGAGCGATGTTACACATGGAGCTGCTGTGATGTTACACGTGGAACTGCTGGGATGTTACACGTGGAGCTGCTGGGATGTTACACGTGGAGCTGCTGTGATGTTACACGTGGAGCTGCTGTGATGTTACACGTGGAGCTGCTGGGATGTTACACGTGGAGCTGCTGGGATGTTACACGTGGAGCTGCTGTGATGTTACACACAGAGCTGCTGTGATGTTACACACGGAGCTGCTGTGATGTTACACATGGAGCTGCTGTGATGTTACACACAGAGCTGCTGTGATGTTACACACGGAGCTGCTGTGATGTTACACACGGAGCTGCTGTGATGTTACACGCGGAGCTGCTGTGATGTTACACGTGGAGCTGCTGTGATGTTACACGTGGAGCTGCTGGGATGTTACACGTGGAGCTGCTGTGATGTTACACGTGGAGCTGCTGTGATGTTACACGTGGAGCTGCTGGGATGTTATACGTGGAGCTGCTGTGATGTTACACGTGGAGCTGCTGGGATGTTACACATGGAGCTGCTGGGATGTTACACACGGAGCTGCTGGGATGTTACACAGGGAGCTGCTGTGATGTTACACGTGGAGCTGCTGTGATGTTACACATGGAGCTGCTGTGATGTTACACGTGGAGCTGCTGGGATGTTACTCATGGAGCTGCTGGGATGTTACACACGGAGCTGCTGGGATGTTACACACGGAGCTGCTGTGATGTTACACGTGGAGCTGCTGTGATGTTACACATGGAGCTGCTGGGATGTTACTCATGGAGCTGCTGGGATGTTACACGTGGAGCTGCTGGGATGTTACACATGGAGCTGCTGGGATGTTACACACGGAGCTGCTGTGATGTTACACGTGGAGCTGCTGGGATGTTACACATGGAGCTGCTGTGATGTTACACATGGAGCTGCTGTGATGTTACACATGGAGCTGCTGTGATGCAAGGAGCATTTCAGACTTGACCATTAAAGTATTATCGTATCGTACACCAGCCACTTCCGGTCACAACATAGCGTGAGCAATACTCACCCAATCAGGATGCTCGGCTGCTGGTACCGCAGACTGAAAGACAAACACGGCTCATCAGAACCGCTGGTGTTTATGTGTTTATTTAACCAGAGGCCTGCACTACGAAGCCGGATGTTCTCTTAGCTAACTTCAAGGAAAACTCTGGCTTTCCGGTCCTACGACGCTGGTTCTCTTTTTAGCGGGCTAGATCTCCATGGTAACTGATGCTGAACGGCTAACCTCCTCCGGAGCAGGTTAGGTTGCAGGCTAAGAGATCAACTCAGTGAAAGCACCGCCTGCTGACCAATCAGAGCTCAGTGTGCGGAGTTTAAAGCTATCAAGTCATATTACAGGATAGAGGAAATACAGAAAAACTGCCGGAAAGTGAACATTAATAGAATATCCCCTCCTCCCATCTTCAGAGCAATCTGACTATTATAACATTAGCGTTAAGAAAGCTTACTTAAATATCTGCCACAACATAAGTAACCGGATCAGAGTAACATTAAGTACAGTCCGCGGCACTGTGAGTGCAGACGTCGATGTGTCCCATTATCATTCATATCACATCATAATGTATCATATATTTCCTTATCTGAGTCAGCTGAGCCGTATCTGGCCGTGCAACACTCACAGTGTCACATACTGTATGCAGAAGTATTATTTTAAGCAACACATTAAGTTGATGAAACACTCGAGTCAAATATAATTAAAGTCAGATCGTGTCTTAGACGGGGCAGTGATATCATAAACCTGTTAATGTACGCATTCAAACTCTTTCTCTGTTACCAGCTGTATTCACCTTGCAGGTGCAGCTATGTGGCTTTGATCCTGGATAAAGTGTTTAAGTCATGGATGTTTAAAGTTTAACTTCTTCATATTTGACTAATATTAAAGTTCACTTTTCATTCAGGAAGTATGACGCTGCGCTGTCAGTACGCTTGTCCATGTTTGTGATTGGTCGATTGCTCCAAATACCACCCCTTTCATGTGAACGCGCACCTAACTAGATAGGACACGGCTTGAGCGATCCACTTGATAACCAGCGTCGTAGGACAGCTTAGCGAGAGCGCGTATGTTTTGGATTGGGCCAACCGGCTAACTCCAACATATCCAGGTTAGGTTGAACCGGCTTCGTCGTACAGGCCTCTGGACCGTGCATACAAATACATGAATCTCAGGAAAGAGAAGAGATGATTTATGACAGATTATAGCTAATAGCTCATTTCCATCTGCAGTCCTGAGGCAGCTGCACAACAATCAACAATCAACAAACACGTTGCATCATCTCTATCAAACAAACAACTATAAAACAGATTAAAGTACAGGTCTATCAAATATTACATACTACAGTTCAAATATAATATGCCGGTGTAATTACTGTTAGCTTAATATCCCAGAGAAAGAGTGGGTTCTAAGCTCAGCTGGAAGAACACTCAGATCCAGCAGCAGACCCTTTTCACGCTGCTATGGACGCTCTGGCAATAATACACATTCAAGACCTGAAGTGACTCATCACCCCCCCACAAGATACTCACTGCTCAGCCTCTAGGTGGAACTCTTCACTCAGAGGGAGGACATCGCTACACCACACACACACACACACACACACACACACACACACACACACACACACACACACCACACACACACACACACACACACACACACACACACACACACACACACACACACACACACACACACACACACACACACACACACATGGTTGTTGTAT